AGAATAACAGAGTTGGTAGGGACCTTGGAGGTCTTCTAGTCCAACCCTCTACTCAAACAGGAGACCCTATACCATTCCAGACAAATGGTTGTCCAATCTCTTCTTAAAAACCTACCGTGATGGAACACCCACAGCTTCTAAAGCAAGCTGTTCCACTGGTTGATTGTTCTAACTGTCATGAAATTTCTCCTTAGTTCTAGTTTGGTCTTCTTATTTCTAGGTTTGAATAAGCAACACTGTTTTGCAATAAATAAAGTCAGAATCTGTGTAGAACATGGGGAATGTCAACGGTAAGAGGAAGAGAGACAGTATGAGATGCTAAACATTGCATCCTGATTTTATCTCACATGTGAAAGCTTGTAAAGTTAGGGATGGCAAAAACACCATCATCTTTTCACAGCACGTGTCTCTTGAACCAAACTCTTGACTTTCATTTTAAGAAATGGGATTTCCAATTTCTAAAGATTCCAAATTTTTTGGATCTGGGTGACATGATAAGGCTGAGATTGTGTCAAAGAAATACAGGACATGCAGAGGATGATACGTTGTGAGCATATAACTGGGTTTTCTGCCTTAACTCCTTAACTGGATTTTCTGCATGAGTTACTGTATGTCTTCCCTGAAATAAATAAAAAAGACTTCTGAAGTCCTTCTTCATAGAAAAGTTGTCCACAGGGGATAGTCAAAACAAGTCAGAAGGCTAACCACAAGGGTGTGACTGAAGCTCTCAACACACATCAAAAACAGGCATGGCTTCAGTCACACCATCATGGGAGCCATCTTGACCCCTGTCCTTCAGAACAATAAGTATTTGAATTACAATCAGGTGTATCCTCAACAAGGAGTCAAAAAAACTCAAGAGGGCTGCCTCAACTGCACAATCTAAGCTCAGCCCTTTTCAGTCTGCAGCACAATGTACATTGAAAAGGGGTGGGGCTTCAATTAGGCAGTGGCCATCTTGACTTCTTTGACACACACACACGTAGATGCCCGTGATTGCAATATTCTTTTTGTGAAACAATATTTTTGCTACAGGTAGTCCTGGATCTACGACAATGTTTGTTAAATGAATTGGGCCTAATTTTACAATCTTTTTTCCCCCATGGTTAAGAATAGAATAGAATAGAATAGAATAGAATAGAATAGAATAGAATAGAATAGAATAGAAAGGGACCATGGAGATCTTCTAGTCCAGCCCCCTGCTCAAGCAGGAGAACCTATACCATCTCAGACAGGTGAATGTCTAGTCTCTTCTTAAAAATCTCCAGTGATTGCGCACCCACGATTTCTGGAGGTAAGCTGTTCCACTGGTTAATTGTCCTCACTATCAGGAAGTTTCTCCTTAATTCCAGGTTGCTTCTGTCCTTGATCAGTTTCCAACCATTGTTTCTAGTCCTTCCCTCTGGTACTCTGGTGAACAACCTGGCCCCCTCTGCCTTGTGGCAGCCCCTCAGATACTGGAACACCACTATCATGTCTCCCCTATTTCTTAATTGAATTACAGTCAAGAATGAAACTTTGGCAGCATCCCAGGAAAGGGGTTTTGCTTGTTTGCATGGTCCGGTTTGTGATATGCTACGGCCTGGTGCTTGGGACCCCTGTTCTAATCCAACCCCCTGCTCAAGCAGGAAACTCTATACCATTCCAGACAAGTGGTTGTCCAATCTCTTCTTAAAAGCCTCCAGTGATGGAGCATTCACAACTTAACCAGCGAAGGCATTGGTTAATTATTCTCACTTTTAGGAAATTTCTCCTAAGTTCTAGGATGGTTTCTGTTTCACTAACACAAGAACATAGCGGAATAAAAATTGGATGCAGGACTCTGCTACTTCATCCTCACCACACGTGATGTTTTTGGTTAGACAACTGATGTCCATGATGACTTTAGCAGGATCCCAGGTGCATTCTTCTTCGGTTGCGTCTTCGTAACATTTCCGGTGTTGAAAACAGCAGCTAATTCCAGGAAAGAAGAAGAAATCAAAGCATAATTAGGAGAGACTGTTAGTGAACATATTGGCAGCTTCAGGGTTCGGTCTCAGCTGACTAAATTGCTTTAAGCGGATTCGCCTTCAAGCTTTTCTGAACAACCAGAAAACTAAAAAGTGGGAAGACTTCTCAAGAGTTGGACTGGTCTGCTTTCAACCTCACCATTGATTGCTTCAAGGATTAGCATTTGTTTTTCAAACTTAGCTTCTCCCTTGGAATACATAAGATATGGACCATATGTCGGCTTTCTTTGTTAGAATTGAGTCAAAATGGCGGCTGTGACTGTGTTAACCAAGCTGTGCCCCTTTTGATGGGTGGCATGGTTACCATCTTGACATTTTGGGATACCTCCTCCCTCATGGAAATCCCTGAGGTCAAGTGAGCCACAATACTGATGTGGGAGATTTTGGATAGGTAAAGGCCATTTTTCAATATCACAGAAGATGCTCAGTTTATACAGAGCGATAACAACTCACTTCATTATGAATGTTTAAGCGATACAGATAATTACAGCCCCAGTTGGCATCAGAAATTCCACTGCTAAGCAAGGCAGTTAAGTGAATCATGCCTGACTTACGACCTTTTTGCCATGGTTATTAAGCAAATTACTGCCATTATTAAGTGACTCACATGGTTGTTAAGCAAATCTGGCTTCCCTCGTTGACTTTGCTTGTCGGAAGCCAGCTGGGAAGGTCACAAACTGAGACCTGAGGAGAACTGAAGAAGCTTCTTGGATGAGAAGTGAAACGTCTTCAAGAAAAAGAAGACTCAAGGAAGTCCAGTTGTCTTTTTTGAAAGCATTTTGGGACATGGCAGCAGAAAAATACCAAAAAAAGTTTAGCTCGCTGCTGCCATCTTAGGGCCATCTCAAGATCTGAACCTTGGATTTGTAGCATTAGGGCCTAAAACAGGGGTCTTCAAACTTGGCCCTTTTATGACTTGTGGACTTCAACTCCCAGAATTCCTCAGCCAGCGTGCCTGGCTGAGGAATTCTGGGAGTTGAAGTCCACAAGTCATAAAAGGGCCAAGTTTGAAGACCCCTGGCCTAAAACAATGCCAAGTTGGGCATGGTTGCAATGTTCCTCTGAGATCCTGTCAGCCATGTCATAGCAGGAACATAGGAACATAGGCTCCTTTTGTGATTCCAAGCAATTTCTAGACTGGAACCTCTGTCCACAAGAGAGCGAAGTGGGGTGATATCCCAAGGTACTTTTTTAAAAATGCAATCGGACTTTCTTATTTTTGTCCTTTGAAAACCATGGTCATTAGCTCTCAGAAAGTCGTTATAAACAGGAGATGGGCAGTTGAGAGAAGGGTGTTCAATTTTAACATAGATGGCCTCTTCACTGAACCGCTCTCTCTCTCTCTCTCTCTCTCTCTCTCTCTCTCTCTCTCTCTCTCTCTCTCTCTCTCTCTCTCTCTC